ATTTGAGAAGCACTTGACTGTAAGCCAGATACCACTTACTCTATTAACTTTGATCCTCCTTCTTCTGATCACTGTTCTTGGTTTTCAGAGAATCTACACAATTTCAACTGCAGAATGCTGGCACTTCAGGAGAAACTCAAGCAAATATTAATGAATACATATATTGCTGCCATTACTAGCACATATTTAGAGAGCTACAAGCCCAAAGCACACCTTTGGAATTCTGAGTTCCATTATGCTTATTAAAGGCAAATGTGCGCACACACACATACATTCAGAGGTAAAAATCATGACTTATTTAGCAGCCAATCTTTTCTCTGTGTTCTAAATTCAATCTAACGGTGGTTCGATTTCAGTGGAGCTGTCAGTAAAATCTGCTATGCTCTCTGCTCCCTTAACCTTTCATGATACTACATGATCCCAACTTTTGTGTAATGTTCCACTATAAATAAATCAATCTATGCTAATATACCCTTTTTTTAAAAAAATGAAGAGTTTAATAAATCAAATTCACAAGTGTATGAGAAAGTCATTGTGTAGTGGCAGGAATGAAAATGCTTTTATACTAGGAACTATTGTGTACCAGTCAAACAACAAAACTAAATCAGAAAAACTAGAAATATCACAAATCAGTTCTGAAGAGTTTGAAGGTATGAAATATTAAGTAATACACATAGAAAATACAAAACCAAATGAGATAAAAATTGTTATTATATTTACACTGCGACTTTCTCTCTTTTACAAGGAACTCAAGGAGGCTTCAAAGTTATCCCTCTTTCCATTTTATCCACACACCATCCACCCTTTGAAGTAGATTAGGGTGTGAACGTGACAGGTCCACAGTTACCCAGTGAGCTCCATGAATGAGTGAGGACTAGATCTCAGATCTCTCAGCTCCCTAGTCCAACACTATTTATTTCATGTTTATACCACCCATTAGCCAAGGTTCTCTCTCTTTAGCCACTGTGCCACTCTGCATTCACTGATGAAACAAACTTATTTAAGTTTGATCAGAAAATGTGTTCCAATTAATCAATATAAAACAATTAATTGTTTCTACTTAGAACTGATTGCACAAAACAATAGCATACTGATCAGCAGCCTTTGTATATCCTTTTGATAGTAACGATGATGCTATGTTAACTACAGGATGTAGTAAGGATATATAAATTAAACTGCTTTTCTATCCTTTCCTTTTCCTCTTGCAAGGAACCCAAGTTGGCTTACATAGCTCTGTTTTATCCTCATAAGAACAACCCTGTGGGATAGTTTAAGCTGAGATTAATTTCTTGATCCAAAATGACCTAGTGAGCTTCATGGCCAAGTGGCGACAAGTACCCAGATCTCCCTGGTCCCCTAAAATATAGTTAGACACAAATATGACTCAGTTGGGTCCATTAGTTTGTGGAGGTTCCGTGCCCGAATAATCTGCAACGAACATTAACTGGTTTTACCCCAAATAATAGTGATGATAGAAACAGTGATGGGAATTAACTTCCCATAACAAAATTAATCAATTATCTGTTTCCACAGTATTTTTGCAAGAAGAATGCAAGCACTAAAGAATATGTATTTGGTGCCTTCAGTCCCTTTCTACATCTAATCCAGCCCACTCAGAGAAATAATTACAAATTATGGATTCCTGAAAAATCTTATCTTTGCTAATAACATGACGAGCTGTCCTGATTCTCCTCTTTCAGACCAATGCGTGAATCAGAACTTAGTTATCCACTGGCTTTCATCCACATATGTATGACAGTGCAAAATAAAATATTAAAATAAAATAAACTGTATGTAAAATGCACATTTTGAGAAGGAAACCTTTGGAACTGGATATTTTAAAAGAAGATATATTTAAATGCATAATTTGCATAATTTGTAAATGGAAATGATGGATCTATAGTTCAACACATATAGTTGAACTTCAAATTACAATGGCCAAAAAATAGTATGATTTGCCCATGCTTAGTTCAACTCTCCTTTGACTTGAACAGTACCTGGGGCACCAATTACAGTATGAGCATCATCTGTGAATGCTAGGGAAAAGCTGTGCTGGTCTTTCCCCCTTTATTTACAGAGGAAGCAGATCTCACTGCCACTTGGCAAGTGTACAGTGTGAGCAGGGAAAGACCTGTTTTTCTGCACAACCTTGGATGGCCAAATTAGGACTTCAGATCTATGTTTCTGCATCCTGAAGCTTTTGCACCTGGTGCATCACAATGCCAGGCCACTACCATGTGCTCTGATGTTGGTAAATGATAGTGTAGATCCCACTCCCCCCCCACTTCAAACAGGGGTTCAAACAAATAACTTGAGATTATTGTTTTTACAACAATCAGACCTGCATTATTTGTATTTCTAGATTTCAAACTTGCATCATGCACATCAGGGCCTGCATAAGGAGATTAGATGATGTTCTTTAAATTTCCAACCTAGTATTAAAAGTTTGAGCCAATTTTGGCATTGAAATGCCAACCACTAATTGCCTTTCTGAGTGCCTAGTCATAGCTGAGGAAAGTGCATAATTATGAGGACACTGCTCAGTGAAGACTTATATACCAAAGCTAAGATTGCACCCTTGAACTTTATGTTATTTGGTAGGAAAAACAACATCTCATCTGAAGTCAGTCACAAACACGAATCAAAACTCCCATATCACATTTAAGCATGCACTGATTGAATGAGGGAGGGAGCCCGTTTTCTACCATCGTGATTGCAAGATGATTCAAGGAGAGCACGTACTAAGAGGTTCCCAGTATTTATATAACCTTTAATTAAAAACCACATTAGAGTCGGACTTCAGAATCTTGAACATTTCCTTATTCCATTTATATACCATAGGACCCATCAAGAAAAAAAATATATCGTTGTTACATGCTGTCAAATTGTCTCCAACTTAAGGCAACCTTATGAATTAATGTCCTTAAAAATGTCTTGTCCTTGACAGCACTGCTTGGCTCTTGTAAACTTAAGGCTGCGACTTCCTTTATGGCATCAATCCAGTTGGTGGTTATCTTTTCCTTTTTCTTTCTGTCTTCAACTTTCCCTAGCATTATTGTCTTCTGCAGTGAGTCTTGCTGTCATGATATGCCTGAAACACGACAGCTTCAGTTTCATCATTTGAGGAATGCCTAAATCCTGACAAAATATGGTTTAAACATTTCATAGTGACTGTAAATCCTATTCGCTTTGATGGAATATAGGCACATGTGACTTTTTGGGTACAGCGTTCTTTAACTATTATTCCATCACCAGCCATGTAATCCTAATGCTTGTATTCCTTCCTGTAGTCTAATACTTATGTCACTGCAGTTCTTATCAAAAGAAAATAAAAAGAGGAAAATAAGTAAAGTAGAGAAGAAAGAAAAAAAAAGATTGGATGCAGAATAAATTCTGAAATATGAAGATTTACTTAAACAATATGCTTTATTCCTAGCTAGCATGTGTTTGTACCAATTTTCCACAGTGAAAGTGAATCTTTCTT